CGAGATGGATATAGGGACGACAGATACGAGAGATTGGACCGAGACGGATATAGGGACAACAGATACGAGAGGTCGGGTCAAGATGGCTACAGAGGTGGTAGGTATGAAAGAGGAGATCGAGACTGGGAACGACGAGATGGGTCGCGCGGACGGTTTGAGTGCGGGGGAGATGCGAGAGAGCAGCACGACGAGTCGCGGGGGTGGTACAATCGAGGGTACCGACGCGATGAGTCACGAGGGCGATATGACTCGGGGGACCGCCGGAATGATTCGCGAGGGCGGTATGAGCAAGGAGGGTCTGGAGGAGACCGCCGCAACGATTCGCGCAGTCGGAATGAGAGAGGGGGATATGGTGTCTCATCAGAACCATATCCCAAGTCGCCTGACCCCAAGGCAGCCAGAAGTTCGATCTCTAGAAGCGCAAACGACAGACCATCTACTCCCAGGAACTCATGCGTCTACTGTAGAGGAGAAAATCATATCAAGAGGGATTTCCCAGACCTCAAACGGGCAATAGATGAGGGACTTGTCGTGCTTGACGACCACAAGTACGTCAAGTGGGTAGATGGTCTGGGAGATGTATCGATGTTCCCTTCGATGAAGGAGAATGTCGAAGCAAGGAGAGTAAAGCCGAGTAAAGAAAAGGAGCCAGTCAGGAGCCAGAGCATSAAGATAACCTTTGAGGGGGATATGGCGACCACACCCATAAGGGTGGCAGCCACCAAGTCGGCGAGAGGGTCTACATCGAAGAAGACTGACACGGATTACGTGATGACGGAGAAGGACGGGCAGCGGGTCAATGGAGAGGAGGTTATCCTTTCGCCACGAAAGAGGGGAGTGAAGAAGTTCTTAATGAAGAGTCCGCTGGACGAGATTGACACGGTCGAGCCACTGAGGCGGGCCCTTCGGCAACCCATKCAGTGCTCTATTCTGGAGTACCTAGCGGCATCGAAGCCGGCTCGTGATGAGTTACAGATGATCACGCGGAAGACTCGCATACCTCTATCGGAGGAGGGTCAGGGGGCTCCTAAGGCGGAAGCTTCTACAGTAGCAGTAACGATGGTGACTGCTAGAGCGGATCGCATGACGACAGTCCTTCTCGACGGAATGGAAGTGGTGCCTCCAGACAAGTTTTATATACTTGGTAGCGGGGCCGTGGAGACGATTATAAACAATGCAGCGGTACTCGATGCTGTGATCGATAACGACAGTGAGGCTGTCATCATAAACGAGGACCTGGCAGTACAGGTTGGACTAGGTCTCGATAGGTCATACCTATTCGAGATAGAGACGGCTGATGGGAGAAAGCATCAAATCACTAGGTTTGTCACAAGGCAGCCATAGAGGTCCAAGGGGTACGAGTGACCCTGCCTGTCTTTGCAGTCAAGAACTGCAGCTCCGACCTGCTCTTGGGTCGAACGTAGCTGAGCCACGTGCATGCGGTGACGATAGAGCGACCTGATGGGAGCCAAACATTGTCCATTAGGAAGCCAGACGGGACGCTGGTAATGATTGAGACAGTGGAGCCTCGGGAGTCGAGGAACAGAACAGCTCTCGCTGAGGGTGAGAGACCCAGTGATCAGATTAAGTCGTTACCTATCTCCGGCCGCGCGGTGCAATTTCGCGAAAATAAATATGGACCACTATTCACAGAGGAAGAAGGTCGGATCGTGGAGGTGGAAGATTTAGGGAGTCGGCTAATAGTGGATGGCAACTCGTACCCAAAG